CCGCTTCGGAGCGGGGCTTGCGCTTCTCTGCGGGAGCTCTTCGAGATGCAAACTTCTGGGTGTGAGATGCTGCTTACACGAGAGGCTAGAGTTCAAGTGTTTCCTGCATTGATTATTATTTTTTTCCTGTTGGGAAAATGTACCCAGTAACAAAAACTTTCTAAGAAAAGTAGTGGATTTTCAATGAGAAGCTCCTTTCCCGAAGCGCTACACCGCTTCGGAGCGGGGCTTGCGCTTCTCTGCGGGAGCTCTTCGAGATGCAAACTTCTGGGTGTGAGATGCTGCTTACACGAGAGGCTAGAGTTCAAGTGTTTCCTGCATTGATTATTATTTTTTTCCTGTTGGGAAAATGTACCCAGTAACAAAAACTTTCTAAGAAAAGTAGTGGATTTTCAATGAGAAGCTCCTTTCCCGAAGCGCTACAGAATTTCACAGGCTTGTTGGTTGTATTGACAACGCACTTAATTTTCTGGTGGTCTTCTTAGGGAGTAGCTAATACTGCAGAAGATGCATTTTGGTCTGCAGCATTAAGAATGTTCGTTGAGGTGTCTTTGCTTTAGCATTGGTGAATTTCAAGTATGATATGTAAAAGGCAAAAAAAAAAAAGTCGAATAGAAATTTATATCAGACTACGGAAGGGTATAAAGCCCACGGATCCGAGTACTTTCTGTTAAGTCAACTTTTAAAACAGCCTCTCCCTAGACAGCAATTCACATTTTTCAAGGGGAGAAAAGATGGGTGAAATTGAATTGTCCAAATTAAGTCCAAATGAATTGCTTAATATTCAGAGGGGTTGATAAATGAACCATTAAATCAACACTTGCATAGTGTCTCATTGAAAAGAAAAATGAACAGCTCTCAGTTGTGTGCTGGGCAGACTAGGCCAGCCGGTGACGTTACCACATTAGTGTGCTGAGCTGAGCCCTCCTCCTCCTCCTAACAGATATGTTTGCTCTGTGACATTGCATGGGCATGGGAACGAGCTCTCCTGCCCTGTGCTGTGTGGTGTAGCATCTGCTATAAATGACCGTAATTGTCCCAGCTTCATCTCAAAGGAGAGAAATCTTGGTTAGTTTCATTTGGCATAAATTAACATAATTCCATTGACTTCTCATGTTGATGTATATCTGTTGAGAATCCACTCTTGTATTTCAAACTACTGTTGTGTGGTTTGGGTTTTTTTCCCCCCCTGAGGAAGAGCTATACTTTGAATGCCAGTTTGAGGAAAAAATCATACTGATAAATGGAAAAATAAGTTGTCATTTTGAAACAAGCCAGACAAGATTCCTTATACTAAAAGCTCTTTTGAGAGCATCACCTCTCATTAAAACAGTGCGTGAACTTTGCTTCTAAACCCTTTGGTTAGTATAGGTACAGCTGTTGCAATATTCTAGCTGCCACTGAAAAATTACCAT